GTGGAAAATAACTGCAGGGTGGTAAATTTTATGAAGCAAATGCACGTTGTGTTGGGCTTTGAAAGTGACAATTCTTGAAAGAATGAACAGAAACATAATACCAGCTAAATCCCTCAGCTGGACTGTGAGGTCTTCCTTTGAATTTGTAGAGGTTTGCTGCTGTGATCATGAGAATCAGGGAACCACGAACAACAGCCCTCATCTTCAGTTCAGGAAAAATGGTCTGCACAGGAGCAAAAAGGTATTTTCTTGTTTTTCCTTCCCTTTAAAGGTCTGGGTCTTGCAACTATGCCTATCTTCTGATGAAAAATGTCAGAAAACCTTGTTTAAATTATCTAGCAAAAAGGCTGTCATAATTGCAAGAAAAACGTCTACCTTCATGATGGCAGTTTAGTAATTACTGAACTGCGTGCTTCTGTCCCTGAATATAGATTGAGCTGAGCAGACATTAGCAGAAAAGCTGCTAAAATGCCCAGGAATTGTGAATGGGTTATTTGCATTTCTCACTGACTTTAAAGTGAGTTAGGACATAACTTGTGTCTGTCAAGTCTCTCTTCAGTATCTGTGTTCACTAGTCAACACATCTGCCTCTAGAGAAAGTGGGAACTGGAGAAAAGCAAAGCTGATTTCTGTACTCTGAAGCTCTTTTCCTCCAGTTCAAGAGCTGCCTTGGTTTTTATGTCCCTAAACTGTCAACGAGATAATGCATTAACTTACAGCTTAGGAGACGTCTTCTCCAACCCCTACCACCACCCCAACTAGCTAGATGATTGTACTTCTGTCTGCAGTCTACCTCTTGGATCAGCTCTGAGAAGCTGTTGTAGGGAACTGAGAAAGAAACTTCTGAAGAGGGGAACTCCTGAGTGATGCAATGTGCTCTGGCACATTCAAATAGACCGCAGGAAAGTGAATAACAAAGTGCCTTATTCCTTTTAGCTCACTGAGGTGGTTCTGGGGATAGAGGCTTGCTATTTTGAGCAGTAGTGAAACTTTTTCTGGAGCACAGATTAGCATGGTGGGGGCTTTAAACTGAGTTCCATCTTGAGAGCAGAAGAAAGCACTATTCGAAGCTGCTTGCCCCTTCTGCTCTTCCTTCAGTGAAGAGCAATCACGGCTTGCAGCCAGGAAGTACGCGCGTGTGGTGCAGAAGCTTGGATTCCCTGCCAAGTTCCTGGACTTCAAGATACAGAATATGGTTGGGAGCTGTGATGTGAGGTTCCCCATCCGGCTGGAAGGCTTGGTTCTCACTCACCAGCAGTGCAGCAGGTATGTGGAAGTCGGAGTTACAACCCCATGCAACTTGGAGCCGTGCCTTGCCAGCTGCAAACAGAGTCAAATTCTGAGGCTGTACAAGCCTGGCAAAAGAGAGTAATAATTAACCAGATGCTGAATATCTAGCATGTCTTTGGCTCGCCAAAAGGCACGCACGCTGGTTCAGCAAGCATGAAGTGGCTGTAGATGCCATGTGTTACAATAAAGATAGTAAGGTTTATCTTCTGCAATAACTCCTGTTCTGAGTGGGTCACAGGCCAAAATGACCCTCTGCTTAATTGCCGGTATGAGATACAGCAGCTAGCAGTAAAGCTTCCAATGCTTGAAACCGTGACTGACACAATTCAACAGTGAAGGGCTCTTCTGAATTGCCCTCCTGTGTGGTGTTCACTATATCCTCCTTGCGGGGACACCATAAGCACCGGCTTTAGAAACATTGCGCCCAAGAGCATGCTACACAAGTGTTCAGTCACTTCTGGGGTAAATTGGATGCATGCTAGACCTGGTTAAGATGAAGGGCTGAAGAACTGCAAGAAGCTCCTGGGATCTTTGCTCAGTTGGTTAATTAAGATATTCTCTTTTATAAAGGCTTTCTCTGACAGTGAAGATTGTTGACACAATCTTCAGTGTTGCTGCATATAAGCAATGTGCACCAGAGATTCGTTAATCTGAGCAGTGCTGGTGATCACAATTTTACTAGTCTCCTGTTATTGCCAAGTGCAATATCAAACCTTAGCAGGTATTTTTCTTCACTGCAGACGTGTCAATAGGAAAATAACCAGTCTTGATGAAACACTTCAGGTTTAATTGGAGCAGCTCTTAAGCTACTCGAACCTGGTCTATACCCTTGCTGCATTATGAACCTTTAATACTAAGCGGGCCTCTTAACTCCCATCAAACCAGATGCCTGCCTGCAAGGATAAGGTTTCTAACATTCAGGCATGAAGCCAGACTGCAGCTGCAAAATACAGAGCTGAAAATATAGTGTGTTTCTGGGCTATCGCTTTGGTTCTTTCTGTGTGCATGTCTATTAGCCATCGATTTAAAGTAAACTTACAGCTGAGTGATGGGCATGCTGTGCCTTCAAAGTGAGCTTGTTTGGAACTAGTTATTGCCATCCCTCAGGAAAGGATGAAGATTTCAGCACTGACAAAATCAAAACCCAGTTGTCTTTTATTAGCACTGCATTTAATATTTTGCATTTAATTTGGGGACTAAATATATATTAAAGATTCACTTGACTGTTGTCTTAGTTGCACAAGATGCTTCCTCATAAAGGCTCTTTGCAGACTAAGAAGGATTTGAGTACTGTTTGAAGATTACAATAATGTTTCAATGCTATGGAAAATCACATTCAGAACTCTTTAAAAGTAAGCATGAAGAACTACCAGCTGCAGCTGGGATTATCATGTTTTTCTTGAAGATGTCTAAAACAGGACCTGCCTTTCTCTAGGTAGCTAGCTAAAATCTGTGGGTTTAATTACTCTATTGTTAGTGTAATTAAAGAGCACTTTATGCACACAACACTGAAACAGTACTTTCATTTTACTAATCTTACCTGCTTGCTTTGAAACAGCTATGAACCTGAACTGTTTCCTGGCCTTATCTATAGGATGGTCAAACCAAGGATAGTGCTACTTATCTTTGTGTCTGGAAAAGTTGTACTGACTGGTAAGTGGTCTCCCTCTGTACATCTGTAATCAATTGCTACCACATCTTCTGAGAAAGCATTTAAATTGAACATTAGCTAAACTAGTAACTTGCCACAGTAAAGCCACTCAGCAATCTTTTTAATGCCTACTGCTGCTTGTGTTTTCTGCAGATAACAGTATCAGTATTGTTGCACTAGAACCTCATATTACTTCATATAGCGTCTCAGATTTCCATGTCGTTAAACTTGAGTAGCTTTATTTTATTTGAAGCATACTGCCATGTGTCAATGGACAGAACCCCAACAGGATGCTGACAAGCTAGTAACTACTCAGTCACTTAAATACAAATATCACAATAAGCAATTTTAAATTGCTTGGACAGGAAGCAGACTTCTTAAAACACTTCACTCTGACAAGATTTAGTAGGGATTGTTGGAGGAAAGGGTGGAGACCTAAGAACTTGTTTCCAGACTGTTTGGCAAAAGCCTTGTGGAGTAAGTGTGCTCAGCAAATATCTGTACCTCAGATCCTACGTCAAAAAAGTTGAATTCCTGAATGCATGTTCCTAACATTCTTCTGTAAAGCTTGTGAAAAATACTTTTATTCAGATGTACCGAAAGGTAAATGGTACTTGTTCCCAGAGGACCTCAATGCTGTATGTATATTCACAACACAGCTTTGAGGTATGTGAAAGACAAAAGAGAAGTGCCTGCCTTAGCCAGGGGTTCTCACAATCATAAATCATGAATGATCTGAGCTAACTGAAGAATGGGGCACTAGCTACAAAGCTTAAATGCTTCCCCCTCCAATGTCCCCCCACCATCTTCTTAGGTCCAGGAAAGTCATACTGACCAGTTCCATTCCACTGATACTTGCATTTTTGGGTACGCTAATTGCAAAACCCTTGTGTGCGCAGCAGGCTCAGAAGTACCGAGTCCTTGTCTGTGAACACTGGGCCCAACTGTAATAACAAAACTGAATTTGCTGAGCTGTGAGGTTTTTCCTCTAATCAAGAAAGTAAACTTGAAAGCAACTTTACTTTTGAAAGTAAAAGTTGTAGTAGTAATGCAGATGAATTAGCCATGTCCAAGTGTGTTCTGAGGGAAAGGTTTACGCATTCATCCTGAATGGCACTTAATCCAACTGCTAGTTCATTTAAATGCTGCTTTTTTGGTAACTAATGTTTGTTGCACTAGCATGGTAGAGTAATGTCACTGCTTACTGCAATACAGTTAGTGTACTAGACTTGGTATTAAAGACTTGCTTGCAGTAAGATGGAAAAGACTGGCTTTGAAATTGCACATGCCCTAACAAAGCTTAAAAGCAAAAAAAAGCTTCTCGGAACTGGAGGAAGGGATTTCTCAAACTGTGGATCAAGTTCCAGTATTGGAATAAATGCCCTTCACTTCTTGTTTCTGTCTTTCCACTTACCTTATCAACAGGCAGAGCTGTTACTGTTAAGCAGGTTAACACCATGGTTCTCCTCAGTTGCTTTTTTTCCAAAGCCAAAGTTTTTTATCTGTTGAGTAGCCAGCTGCTGTTTTGGTTCCACAGATTAAACAAAAATAGTCCAGTCTTAAAGCAAAGCAAGCTAGAAATTGTTCTTTGTGAGGTAGCAGAAGTATGATAGAAATTCTGCCTTAAACTAATAGGAAGTTGCTTTTAAACTCCTGTGTTTCTTCATGGCTTGTAGTCTTATTACATTTGAGTTGTATTCAGTTATTCTCAACACTGTTAATTCTTAACTTGTTTTTTCCTAAATGTCTTTCTAGGAGCAAAAGAGCGTTCTGAAATCTATGAGGCATTTGAGAACATCTACCCAATTCTAAAAGGTTTCAAGAAATCGTCATAACATGGCCCATAAAGCAATTAAGAATAATACATGGGGGTTTGTATTACCCTTGCTCCTGTTCCATGCGTAGTATTCTGGGACCCAACTGTATAGTTCTGGATTATTAAGCAAATTATGCTATTGAGTACTATAAATGCTGATGCCTTTCTATAGTTTGTAAAATGTGGTTTTGCTTTCAAATTAGCTGTCTGTAATCCACTTGAGTTCTGACAACTTCTGTCAAGCTGAAAATTTTGCCAAATGAACGTACTTTTTAATAGAATGCATATTAAGGTGGCACTTAAGTATGTTGTAATAGAAACCATGTGTCTTTCCTCGTGTTGAACAGGTGAATCAACACTGCACTTCAGACTAGCTTTATCAAAATATTCAGCTTTATGGGCACTGAAACCTAGCTCCTGCCACACTGTATTTTCACGTTTACACTCAAATATATTTTTGTCTACAACATAGCTTACAAAATCCAATGCGAGTTGATTTCAGTGTTTTGTAGACTGATTGTAGAGGATATATACTGAATCCCTCCGATCCTACCAGTTGGATAAACTCTTGTGTAATGATGTTGATACTCCTTTTTACAAGGTCCCTGCCTGCTGGAGCATACCTAGAAAGTTGGTGGGGTAACTAATCAAATTATCTAATTTGTCATGCCACAAATTAGATTTTAACAAAATGGTACCCTCTTGTATTACTGAAGTCCCCTCAGATGATGGGAGTTTGTTGCTTGGCCCAGACAAAGCATGTTGGTTAGGAACTGCCTTTAAAATGGACTTGAGGAAAATACAGTGGGGCTCTTGTACTTTGTTTTCTCTCTGAGTGAACTCAGGGCTTCCTTTGCAAAAGCTGTCATGCTCAGACTGGTAATGTGATTAGGAACAGTGTAAAGATTATCCCTTGGCTGTTCTGGTACCTCCTATGATTATCTGGAGGCAAGTTGGGTGTTATTTTCCCAGAACAGGGCTTTGGTGCTGCTGTGGTTTAAACCCTTGTTTCCGGCTGAAGATGGGACAGATCTGTCGGGGAGCGCCCTAAGCCACTAGAGGTTGCTGTTAGATGACTTAAGTCTAACCCAGGCCAAAAGCTACCCCTCCTTGATGAAAATACACGTATAGGCAATGGCTTAATGCAGAACAAGGTGTCATAGTTCTGCTGTCACAAGTTTATTTCTGATTCGGTGGGGATGCGATCTCAACTTCTGTGTCCAATATGTCTCACGAGTGCTTTTATAACTGTCTCTCTGCTCCTCTGGAAAAAAGTTTAAAAAAACTTCATGCACTTCCTTAAGATAAACTGGTCTTAACTATGTTATCACTTTCTTTGTCACAGTCAAACTGTGGATTTCCACACTCAAATCTATTCTAAACAGAGGCTTACTTTTCTGTTTGTTTTCTAACACTGTAGACTTTCCACAGCTATGGGCTGGACTTTTATTTGCACTGTAGCTGTAATAGCTGATAAGCTTCAGTTACAACAATCTTTTGCAAATGAAAAACAACCTGCTCTTATTGGGGATGCTGGAAAAAGTTTTAAGATGATGACTCCTCTTCAAGAAATTGCATTTTAATTAAGAGCTTGCCACAATTTCACCATAAAGTTAATGCTTTTTAAAAGTAGGGATAAAGTCTTAAAGATAAGAAATGGGCCCTGTGCCTTTTCACTGAGCTACCGGTTAAGTTAATGTTTGCTATGGTAACTCTTGTCTTAAAAACCACTATCTTGGTTCTACCTATACTGTTCATGCTACGGTTTTGTAGCACTTAAATACAGTAGGAATGGGAAACAGTATAGGCTGGGAACTTTCTTCACTGGGAAACAGTATAGGCTGGGAATTTTCTTCACTGGGAAACGTTTCGGTTTGGGGGTTTTTGTCTTTGGAAGGGGGATATTGCTTTAAGTTATTCTGGCTTATGTGGACTCTGTCTCTCTTCTTATTGCCTGGTGTTTCCCACTAATTCTGGTGCAGGGGACTGGCTCTGTCTATGTACTAGTTGATCCTATCTATTTAAGTCCTGATTATGGTTCCAACTTTGGGGCTGGGGTGAGGAAACCTACTAGTCTGTCACTCCTAAGGATGTGTATCAATATTTGCCACTTCTTATACAAATTGTTCTTGTTGTTATTGTAAATATAGGGACTGACTTTGGTATACGTAGTCCCTGCAGCAGTGTTATTGACCGGCTACAGTGCAGTCGGGACTGCCATGAAGATGACTGCAGTGGGAGCCCCACCATTCCCCTGGTACTGGTCGGGGTGTCCTACCCTGGGAAGTCAAATGATGCCTCTCTCTGGGGTCACAGACCAGCAGTGGCTGTGTGAGGTTCATGCGAACACCCAGCACCCCAGGAAGCAGAATACAACCACGCTGCTTACTCCAGACATGATGGCAGCTCTGCAGTGGGTGCTGCCTGCATATATTTTATTTTTTTAATTATTTTGGCTTTTGCAAAGAGAAGAAAACGGCACAATTTCCTTGGAGCTGGGCTAGCTGACCTGCCTGCCGTGGGGCAGAGCCCGTACCGCTGCTCACCCACCATGCCCTTCTCTGGGAGGGGGCAAGGGGCAGCCCTCCTTCCTTCAGCAGGTGCTACAGGCTGGGGGAAAAAAAGGGAAAATAAATGAAATGTTTATTTTTAAGGCCATGATTGTGCTGCCTCCTCCTCGCCTATCTGCCCTGCGGAGGGAGGGGATGTTCCCCACCCT